TCCGAAAGTCAATCATCCAAAACGTCAATCATCCGAAAGAATTCCAGTCGGCAAATTTAAGTTTTCGCCAGTGCTGTGGCGCTGCAATCTTTGGCTATGTCTTGGACTACTCAAATATTTTACGTTTTCAATACTAAATTAACTTTTGAAGTATAATTTTTTATTGTTTTTATATTTTTCAATATATTTATATTATTTGTACAAAATAAAGAAATAATTTTTAATGATACAATAGCCACAATTATTATTTTTAAAAATTTATGTTAGGCTTAACATCGATGAAAATTCAAGTCAAAGCGACATGCAACAGAAAAAAATTTCAATATAGGATAGGTTAATATATTTTTTTGTACATAATCGTTTATCCGAAAAATACGTTATCCGAAAACGTCAGTCCCCAATTGATGCAAATAAACGACGCTCTACTGTATATATTTTTAAATTTATGTTTGATTTAATTATATTTAAACTGGTTTTCCAAGATTCATAATTGAAAGTTATGTATTAAATTTATAAATAAAATGCTTTTAATAATAATTTGTGCATATAATCTATTTAAAAGAAAACAACTTGCTAAATTTTAGCTTCTGTACTTAGTTTAAATGATACGTTATCCTGATTTTATAAATAATGACCTTTCTGTGTAAGAGTAATTTGCATATTGTGTTAATATATATTTATGCTAGCTTCTATAATATATCTAGCTTCAGTGTGACATTAATTATGTATATCTACATGAATCAAATATAGTATATTGTATTACAAACATACAATAATCAAAAATATTTTACAGCAGTGCCCTGCAGCTTTTTATCACATAAAACACGTAGGTACTTTCCAGAATTCCATGACCCACCACAAGTAAAAATATATGAATTACAAAGTGCCTACCAATACAAATGACTGATTTACTGTTTTTTTACTTTGTGATGATATAAAAATATCTGGAATTAATTTATAATCAATTTTATTATTTTTACTTTATTTCTTAACCACCTGGAAACCACCCTGGATGAAGTATCACACAATCCTAGTGTGAAGAGCACATGATCAAGATCTCGTGATCATAGGTCATGCAACAGAGACATAATCTACTTATTGCTTCACAATGATGACCTTGATACACAACTCACCAAATTTACATGTGCCCATATTCTGTGAAATATGACTGCAAAGGTGTATTAGTTTGAAGCTTGTTAGAATTCCTTGTCACATCAGTGGCAATAAACACATAGTAGACAAATCATTGCCTCTTTTGAATCCACAATGTATTTATATTCACATTCCCACTATATACTCTGCACCTTTCCTCCTCTTGGATACACTGTGCCACAGAACACCTAGCATTATCTCATGGTACACTGATTGCAGAGCTCTGAGTAATGTAATGTAAAAAAATGTTGTATATATATTATATATATCTTTTACATAATATACTTGTATTTTTCAACAGCAATATTAAAAATTTTTATCACAAAATAAATCTTTAAAGATTAAAACCGATGAAGAACTGAAAACATGGTTCATACAATTCTCTGGATATTTATCTAAGAAAAGCATCAAGCAAATTCCAATGCAATTCAAAAAATGGTAGCAATGAAATACAATTTTGATAATCATCTCATAATAAAAAGTGTTACTGCAATATTAATAATAATAAATTTTGAATTTTCAGTTAAAAAAATGTAAAACTAGAAAAAATAAAAAGACAAATAATTCTATTAAATTACATATCATTGCATTAAGAGCGTTAAGCACAAAAAATAATTTCTTAACATCGGAAGAGTGATCTCTCAATAATTAAGTTTAAAATCCGGAACTTGTCTCTTCATATCACATGATTAAAATAATATCACATATTCAGTTTAATTTATCTTTTTGAATTTAAACAATTCTAACAATGTTTTGATTAAAATTTCAATTATTTTTAATTCAAAGAAAGAATATCTTTAAACAGCAAGAAATATTTGTATCTATGAATATGGTCTAATTTACAGACCTTTGTCAGGATTCTATATTAACAAGCTAATGGATTGGAATAACTCTTTCAATCAGATTACAAAATTTAAAAGGCTCAAACAAAAATTCATTAATTTGATAATTTATAATCCTGATGACAATCTATAAATTACGCTGAAAACATCAGAATCCAAATACTTCTTGTTATTAAAGGTGTTATTTCTTTAAATCTTAATTATAATAGCATTGTAGATGGTTACTGTCCATAAACAATGTATACCTCATTTTAATGGATTGACTAGCATGCCAGACTATCCGGGAGACCACAAAACCAGATATTTCCATATGTAAAAACAGCGTGCTGATTTACCCCAGGGAATGCCAGCATGTTGGTTTAAGTGAGGTTATACATCTCTCCAGAAGGCACATGACAGAAACAAACAAGATAGGTTGCATGATGTCTCACAGACACCAGTTTTATTCTAAAATTGCAAAATTATCAGCATTAAATCAAAAGCAAGCTACAATTACATGTTTAATTTCTGCATTTTGTCTTCTTTCTAATGATGTAAAGTATTCATGGATTGCCAAAAATGCATTTATCATAATTGATCTAAAAATGTAAAAAATAAACATATGAAATTTCAACACTGTAAATTATCTCTCAAATTTCACTGAATGACATCAGATTTGTTTGTAATTGGAAATTGATAAATTGTTCTTCAAAGTCAGGGTAGTAAAATTGTTACTTTTCCCACCAATTATCAGTGCAGTTAGTACCACCACTACTTCTAACATCAATAAACCACTAATATTATTGATTATATTACCATGTAAACAAAAACTCCTCTCTCTGTTATAAGTCTGTCAATTTACAATGTTATTGTTTTATTGTACTTAGAACAAGGTTTCCTTTAACATTTTGACAAGTTTTGCCAAATCTGATTACTTTAATCTTATTTCTATTTTTTATGCAATATAGTCATGCAGTTATGAAAAATTAGTATCACTCAAAATACAGCGATACCTCAGTTTTCGTCAATAATCCATTCAAAAACAATTGGCAAAAATCTGAAACCGACAAAAACCAAGGATATTATTTCCGTATGAATCAATGTAAATCCAATTCATTCATTCTAAACACTCCAAAATACATACCAAAAACACATTATATTTATAGAGAATAAATATAATGTTTAATACTAAAAACAATAAGAAATTAATATAAAATGAATATAAAAGTAGCCGATTTCAGCAATCTTAACGTCACTCTCATATTTTTCAATGATTTCCTTCCTCAACTCAATCATTCCTGGCCTTCTTTGAAGGGCTGCTTGCTCTGGAAGCTTTCTTTGGTCCTAAGATGGAGCAAAATGGAAAGGAAAGCAATGGAATTGTTTGGCTACAGCCATGGGTGATAATGCTCGTACAATGAGAACCAATGCCACACTGAGCAGGAAAATGCATGGGTTGCCCTTTGTTTTCGCAAAATTAGTGGCGAAGGCCACGCGAGCACACTAACAAAATCCAAGGCAACCAACAAAAACTGAGACAAATTTCTCGCAGAAAAAATTGACGATAACCAAAGTCAACGAAAACCGAGGTATTGCTGTATAGAAAAATCAAAATTTGCCGATTGTTTAATCAGGAATGTTTTCTATATGAGAAATGAAACAATCGAAGTAGTAATGTTTGGACCATCAAAAATTCAGCTATTTATGACATGATGTCAAATATGTAAATTTCTATCTTTATAATTTAAAAAATTCTCATAATTTTATCGAATAAATACATTTGCCTGAATAACATTGTTATGAAATAAACAAAACTCTTACAAGCTGCACAGTTTATATTATCAAAATTAATTGTTATATTTTTGTCGTACTGTGCTTTGTGTGACAATGTGATGTGTGAAAAGGCATGTTGCAAGCAAACACAGCAGTCTATTTGAAATGAACTGGAATTTATTTTTGTAGTCCAGGAATGGAAAAAAAAAAAAAAACAGACTATAAGCTGTGGTATTTTGTTTATAATTCATTTTAAACTGCTATCATGTCAAATTGTGCTCATTACATGCAATGCTTGCAAGAATTAACCTATGCAATTTTCCTCTAATTCTTTCATATGTGAGGAGGCACATAACATCTGTGTGATGCCAGCATTTTTTTTCTCATAAGGTATTTGTGCATCCAATTATATGTGGCATACCATCAATCCATAAAAATAGAACAACAACAGAGACAGCTCAGTTAAAAATATTTTTTCCATCAATAAATAATAATTATTAATAAGTTGAACATAAAAATTAAAACAAACAACATATTTTTTCTATTGTTTTCATTTTACACATCTATTGTTATAAATTCATTTAAAAAGTCAATTTTCATGTTATATTCAATAAAGGTACTGTTACTTTTATTGAATATAACTTGAAAATTGGCTTTGTAAATGAATTTAAAATATTATGATAAAAAATACATTACATTCTCATAAAATTATATCAATAAAATAAGTATATTAATATACAATATTGATTTCAATAACAGAGGGAAAGGTCATCCAAAAATTTTATTACTACAATTATTTTAAGAAAGCTATTTTAACAAAACTTGCCTTCTTTCAGATTCTTCAACCATTTGTGTTGCTAACAATTCTGCTTCTTGTGCTTTGCGTTCCATCATTATTTTTTCTTCTTCTGTCTAAAATTTTCAAATTTCATTTTAAAAACAAAAAACAAATGATTTTTGTATACTTTCACAAATTAATTTTTAAAATTTTTATCAGACAACTTTAATAGGTATCACTAGGATTATCATAAATATAACTAAATTGATTTAATTTAAAATGACCACAGTTAATTTTTCAAAATATGAAACTTTTGTTTCTTTAATAATTTTTAAAAATTAATTTTCATTTTACTGTTTATACTAAAATTTACAGCTAACCTTAATTGCACTTATTTTAATTCTTTGTATTTCTGCTTCAGCTTCAGCAGCTTTCTGTTTTAGTAACATAGCTTCCTCTTCTGCAAAACGAGATTTCTCAGCCAATAATTCAGCTGTTTCTTCTGACCTTCTCTGCAATTAAATATTTTGGTTCAAAATAATCTATATTATGGTTTTAAAATATTACCACCATTGAACATTGATCATCTCTGGTAATGTGGACTAGTGCTACTTCAGATAAAATAGATGGTGGTCATCGATTTTATCTGAAGTAGCATTGTTCCACATTATTTAGGAATTGGCCACAGCCATTTAGGAATAATAATTATGAATATAAAAGGTTTATGTGGTATGACACTTTTAAGCCTCTTTTTATATTTTAGCAAGTTTAATCATATACACAACAATAATTTTTACATCATTTATCATATAGCTAATATGGGTACAATAGTGATAAGAATAAGAATAAAAATGTGTATCATTGAAGTTACACTTTAATGAGAATGATTTGTCATGGTAAAAGAAACCATTTTGCAATACATTTTACTAAAACAGTAAAACATATTGCAAAATGGTTTCTTATATGACAAAAGCTTCCTTTTATGAATTACAATATAGGAAAAGTGATGTACTCACTTACAGATTCATCTCATATAATACAGAACTTTGGATAATGAGGGTTCTACTGTATTTCCACAAGAAAAATATATAGTTAATAAATTACATTACAAATTAAATAACTTTTCATGGAGGAATTAGGAAAAGACATGTCAGTTACAATGGAAAAAATATATAATTCACCAGAAAAAGAACTGAAAACATAAAACACACAAGACAAACTATTATAAATAAACAGATAAATGATGTTTTGATTTTAAACAACATAATTAACTGATCATAACACTTCATAAAATAATTATTTGATTAATCAAATCATGTAAAATTCATACAGAATTAAAATAATTAAATTTCCAATTTCAACTGATTTATAACACTAAAATAACCACTACAGTAAAATATTTTAAATAACTATAAAACTTTTCATAATTGATGAACATTTTTATAGTTCTTTAAACTATATATTTATAAAATTAAATGTGATGAAGCTGTTTTATAAGAATATATAATATTCCTTGATTTATGTGTTTTTTTTTGTATTTTGCACAACATTATATCATACAAATTTCTAAATATATTTTGTGTGTATATAAATTTAATCTTTTTTCAAATATCATTGTAAATATTAAATGTACTAAGATACAACTGCATAAAACAAAAAACAAAAGACATGCAAAATTTTTAAAAATTAAATTTAAAAACTAATTTAATAGATATTAATCAAAATAGTCAATAATTATATAACTGATAATCTACAATTCTTTATGAATTGTACATCTGATTAGTATAATAATACACTTGATAGGTATCAAGAGAGGCTGTTTGAGTTTATTTTAAAAAATTATTCTCACTTTACCACAGTATTTTCTTTATAACATCAATAAAGTTTCAAGTTACCTTATATATTTACTTATTGAATCTATACTTAATAATGTTTTCTAAATAATATATTATAACATAAAAATGTTTTTGTGATGTTCAAATTTATCAATAAACATTTTTTATTCTTTTCTTCTATATTGAAACTACTACAAACATAAATTCAAACCAATTCAAATTAAACTTTTCACACAGAATCTTAGTCTAACAAGAAAATAAAGATAACTGAGTAATAATCAGAACTGTCAATTGCTTGTATACAGCCCAAGATTGGAGAAGGCCCCTTATACCATTTTTTCTTTAAACAAATTAAATATGTAGAATGTTTCTTTATTACTAAAATGTAGTCTTAAAGATTTTATTTTTGTTATTAAAAAAATAGCATTAATTTATAGGAATAGAAACATCTACAATCCCCAAGTTTTCTCTGGGCTCAGGGAAAAATCTCCAGCTTTCCCTTCTAAACAGCCCTACTTATAATTATGAATAATAATTTGATCTCACAACCTCAATGCTGTATAAAATAAAAAAAACAGCTGGTATAATTAATGATAATAAATAAGGACAATAGTTCCAAAACTGCTAATAGACTACAAAACCAAATTATATTAAAATACAGGGTAATCATGATTTAAGTTTCACTTTAAAAAACTACTAAACCAAATCTTTACAAACCTGGAAATATTATGAAGGAAGTCATGGGATTTCATAACTGCAAAAAAATAATTAGTTCAAAAAGTCATCACCAAGAGGAAAATGGTGCTTTATGAATATCCCAGTGCTTTGAACTACTGTGGAGGCACAATACTGCACTTTAACTTCCAGGAAATGGTAAGTAGCACATTGAACATGTACTGCCAGTGTTATTTGTAAAATGTATTGTGATGTCAATACAAGGAATAAACCTTGATTTTTCCCTCTGGTGGGTCTTTTTGAACTAATTATTTTTTTGCAGATTATAAAATTCCATAACCTCCTTCATAATATTTCCAGGTTTGGAAACATTCGGTCTAGTAGTTTTCATTTTATAGGAGGTCCAAAGTGAAACTTAAATTATGATCACCCTGTATATCTGTCACAACTTTTGCCTGTTTATGACAGCTGATAATACAATTTAATTTAAAACATGATGATGATAATTAAAAAAAAATACTAACTAAAGCTTCTTGTGCCAGTCTAGCTTCTTCCTGATACTGCATCAACCTTTGTTCTAATTCAGCTTTCTCTCTTTGCACTTCTTCTCTTAATTGTTTTTCTCGAGCCAATTTGTTTCTTTCAACCTGAATTAAATTGAAAATAATAATTTTCGTAACTAAATTTTATATTAGAATATATAAATACATGTTTATTATTTCTTTAAGATAATAAATTATTATCTTAAAATAAATTATTGACTTTTTAACAAACTAAATCAATAGTTCTTCTCACCTGTATTATATTCATCAAATTGTAAGTTCATCANCCAACAGTGGTTAGCAAAAGTAATTATGAAAACTTTTTGACTTAAAATATTTAATTAAAATTGAAAACTCAGGCCTGTTAAGGCTTTGTATCTGGCTCACAGTCTTGATGATTTCTAAAGATCAAAATTTTTTAACATCTTGCAGGAATTAAAACAAAAAAAAAAAAATTCAAACATCTAACTGTTAAGGTATTAACTATCTGTTATGGGAACCAAGAATTAAATCTTGACTAGCAAACCCAGGAATTTTTTATAGGTTGATCTGCTGCCTTGGATATGTTGGATCCAGTTCCTCACCACTCAACTATATGCCATTATTGGCCTGGCTAGCACACAATGAACATGGAGAAAGCCCTCTTAAGCCTAGTACTCACATGTGAAAATGGACAATGAAAAAGTATGAATAAAAATTGCTGTTCCATTGTCTTTATGCATTGAATGTATCTGTATACAAAAACCAGAATATGGAATTGAAGAAATTGGATTGCCATCTGTGTGATAAAAATGGTGCCAAAGAATGTTGCTGGTTTATTAATTAAATTTTCTTTCTTTACTTTCAATTATGTCAGCAATAAAAAAAAAGATAAATTTGAATGAGAAAAATAGATATTTTGAAATAGATCAACAGATCAAACATTTCAAATTACAGTTGTCCCTCAATAGTCCGACGTTTTTTAATCCGACATGCTCAGTAGTCCGATGCACCTCCCGTCAAGGTACCTGTCCCCGTTACGTGCCTGCTTGCACAGAAGCATGTCGCGATGTGAATCTCCCCATCCAATTCTTACTCGATGACACACATTTCGTGTGTTTTATGTGAGCAGTTCTGTTCGAACAGTTGGAGTAGAGAATATTGTAAGTTACTGCTAGCAAAACAATGCAAAATATGTAATTATTTTTGGTAATCCGGACACTTTTGGTAATCCGACACCCCTTTGGTCCCATACCTGTCGGATTATCGAGAGACAACTGTACTTCAGTATCTGAATTACAACTATACAATCATGAGTTATTTCTGTTGTAAATTTGCAGACTAATTTGACCATTTATTATTTAATTAAGATAATAAATAGAACAAACCATACTTTCTAGGCAAGCTGACCATTACAGTTCAAATGTAATCATCCATGATGTTTATAGCATCATTACAAAATAACTTTATTACTCTAATGCAGTGATTTCCAAACTTTTTTCAAGCCACCACCCCCTTGTTTCCATAAACTTATACCAATGCCCCCTTTTCCTTTGTGTAAGAAAGTCTTGAAAATATTTTTAGAAAAAATTTTCTATGAACCTCACACTTTGCATCCTTATTGTATATTGTTCTCCACATCTGGAAACCATTAAACACAATATTTTTTCTAACTGGTTTTAACAGAGGAAAGAGAAAGGTTGTCAGTGACCCTAACCCTTGCCTATGGTAAGCATTTGGCCATTACCTTGTCTCTAGCACCCACCCTGCCATCCACTTGCTTCTTTTTGCCTCCTAGATTTACTGCCCACAGAGGAGCAGCAGCACCCACTTTGGGAACCACTCCTCTAATGTTTTTAGTTTCATTTTCAACAGCAGAAAAAATTAAAAATTTTCCAACTTTGTATTCCATCAACTTGTCATCAGTTTTAATGGTAAATATTTCATCATTTTATATTTTTTGTGTCCATTTCTGTTCACGTGATTTGAAATGGATCATTTTTTGTGTCCATTTCTGTTCACGTGATTTGAAATGGATCATTTTTTGTGTCCATTTCTGTACAAGTACTAGATCTTAGTGTCCACAGGACAGAAAAAGTGAAAAATAAGAAAAACTTTATATTAATATATAATCTTAATTTTTTACATAATTTTAACTTACTTGTCTTCTCAATTTTTCCTCTTTAGCTTGTGCCTTCATCTGTTGGACTTCCATAGAATCTGGTTTTCTTCTTCTCATAAACAAATCATGATTTCCAATACAAAGATCAAGAATCTGAATTTTCAAGTAAAAATAAGTATATTGGTAATATATTTTAATACTGCTGTTTATAATAATAAATTTATTAAGCTGACTCAAAAATTTTCTAAAAGTTTAAATTACACAGATGTCAGTTCTTCAAAATTTATAAAGAATTATTTATCTTTAAATATAACAAACATTTGAAGATAAAACAAACTGTTTTATTTTTCTAAATCCTTCACACTTCAATAGGATTATTTTAAATATTTGCAGTAAGACATTTTATTATAAAGTACAAACAACAAACTCTATTGGAAAATGTCTTTATTCTTTATTATATTTTAAAATGTTCTTGTTAGTGTGTATATAAGAATTTTAATAAAAGTAGATATGTTTTGGGTTTTGTCTTCAAGTGTTTATTACATTTTAATTGAAATAGAATCCTGAAATTACAATTACAGTTTTTAAAACTTCTTTAACTTTACTGAATTAATTTATATTTTTTTATTTTTCAAATAAATTTAAACACACTATATTAAAATGTTCAGCTTTTTTATGTTAGTGTGTTTTCTGAAAATCCTATTATTATCTTTAACTTGATTTTTTTATAGTTTGATTGACTGACTGTTAATTTAACTGAAACATAAATTATTTGTTATACACTTGATTATTTAAGTGATTTGTTTCATGAGAAAGAAAAAATTCCAAAAACTGTATTAAAAAAATTTGATTTTTATAAATAATTAAGAAAACATGTTTTTAGAAAATGTGCATTCATTTCCAAATGTTTTATTTGGAGAAAAAGTAACATAATACATTACAAAAGTTTCTTTTAAATTCAAACTTTTTGAAATTTTCAGAAACTGAAATCAACAGAAAAATTAAATATATAAACTTAAAGCCAAATGTTATTAATCAAAGACAAACAATTGTTGTAATGAATTGGGCTATTTTTTGCTAGTAGCCAAAAATAGCTCAATTCATTACAGTGATCATTTGACTTAGAAAAAATAAAATGTAAAGAAAGAATGTTGTTTTTATAGTAAAAAAATAAAAGTGAAACAGTTACTATACTTACAGTAAGAATATTTACAATAATTTGGTAAAAATGCAAAAAAATTAAAATATTTTCATAAATACAGGATTACTACTAAAATTTTTGTTTTATATTCCCTGATTTTCCCTGACCAACTTTGTTCAAACTCCAACCCTCACATTTCTTATGGTGTGGAATATTAACATAATAAAACAGCATTTTACCATGAGCATTGAGTACATCTATTCCTCTTTTTGCACAATTGATATGTTCCAAAGACTGTGCCAAAAAGTATAGTACATGCATCTTGTAGTAAAATATTTGATAGGATCCACAACTTCAATGTAATGAAAAAATAAACACTTTACAAACAAAACAGGAGCTTTTTTTTTATTTTATCATCATTTATCGTTATTATTTGTATGTAAACACAAGGAAGTATAAAATCAACAAACAGTATTCTCTGATATACAAATAGTACTGTACTGTGCTTAAAAAGATGAACCACTCGACTTAGAAACATGTAAATTTATAACCAATCTTTCAACAAAAGGGGGGCAATTGTTTTAAAATAGTAATATAATTTAAACAAAAAGTTAAATTTACAAATTTTTAAATAAAGCGTTTTTTTCTATGTAAAAAAGATCAGGCTATTTAGTTGATATTCAAAACTATAACATATTACAGTATTATTACAACAGATATGATCAATGTTGACAGTTTTTAAGCCCTAAATTTGCCAAAATCACTGATATTTGTTACCCAACTTTAAGTCTATTAAACTAATTATTAAACTATGTAGCAAAGTGCAGGAAATTAATGAATTCTGTAGTCTGTTACAAAAGTATAAATTTATACCTTAATAAATTTTATAAAAATTTAATATACTGGAAAGAAATTATAAATTATGTTTTGTTAGACAATAAAAATTATTAAAATAAAAAATGATAAATATTTGTAAGTTATTGGTATTATTTATCAATTTTTGCACTTTGTTCTCATTTTTTAAAATCAATTTATTGACACCTAACCTTGAATTGAGAGTGTAAACGATAATTTTGGGGGGTTGGAAAGGGTTAAAATATTTCAGAAAAATTTTAATTGATGTTACATTATCAAGAGTATTTGCAGATAATTCTCTCAAATTCACAATAAAGTGTTTTTAAAATCTCAAAATGTTTAAAATTTAAATATTGTGATTGATCTGGCAGTATATTATACAGTAGAGCATCGTTTATCCGAATCAATTGGGGACAGAGGTTGTTCGGATAACTTATTTTCGGATAACCGATTACGTACGAAAAAATATATTAACCTATCCCATGTTGAAATTTTTCTCCATTGCATGTCGCTTTGCATTGAATTTTCGTCGATGTTAAGCCTAAAGAAAACTTTTTAAAATAATAATCGTGGCTATTGTATCGTTAAAAATTATTTCCTTATTTTTTACAAACAAAATAAATATATTGAAAAATATAAAAACAAAAAAATTTATACTTTAGAAGTTGATCTAGTATCAAAAACGTTTGATTCAGCACAATGCACAGTCCTCAGGAAAACACCACACAAAAGTGCCAGTGCTGCCAGCTAAAACACACACACCAACAAAAAAAATTTTGGAGTAGCCCAAGATATAGCCAAAGATTGCAGTGCCACAGCACTAGCAAATATTTAAAATTGCCGACTGGAATGCTTTCGGTTAACCGACGTTTCGGATAACCGGCTTTTGGATAAACGACGCTCTACTGTATTAGGAACTGTTTTGATAGAAGAATGGATTCTGCTATATTTGTAATAAAGGTTGCAGCATTACATCTTGCTACCTGCAGACAGCTAAACTTGGTCAGCCATATTACGCAAACAAAATCAACAATGCAGCTAAGCAGACAAATTCCTTGACTTTTTGACAATTTTCGACAAATTCCCTGAATTTCCATAATTTTTTTCCAAACACTAATGAAAATCCCCGACTTTCCAGGTGCATAGGAATCCTGTAAATATAAAATGGTTAAAAAAACCAATATGTATAAATGGAAAAAAAAATTAGATTGTCAACTTGCAACAATAAGCTTTGGTGATTTGGAGTTTATATATATAGGCATAATATGCATTTTTACAAAACTGCACAACCCCAGACTTATTATTATTTTTCTTAATATGGCTAAGATTCAAGTAAATGAAAAAAATATTAAAATGAAATAGTTAAATTTATAATCAATGCTAAGTTGTTTTCATTAAATGTATTAATTTTTCACATTGCAAATCAAAATATTACAAATTTATAAATCAACAGAAATAACATGCCATTTAAATTATCCTGCAATGAACAAAAAAGATGATAGTCTGAGGGAGCAATATCTGGAGAATATGCAGGGTGACTCAAAACATCCAAGTTAAAGTCTAGAAGGTTTTGGTGCATGTTTAATAATGTGTGATCTAGCATTATCATGATGAAATACCACTCCCTGTCGATTTGCAAGTTCTGGACATTTTTGATGCACTACAGCCTTTAGTTCATCCAGTTGAAGACAATATTTATTGGAATTAATTGTTTGGTTGTTGGGTAAAGTTCATAATAAAAAAAACCCCTTTCCAGTCCCACCAAACTGAAATCATGACTTTTCTGAGATGCAAACAAGCTTTAGGTTGCAGCAATGAAGGATCACCTGACTTACTCTAAGATCTCTTGCATTAAATATTGCTGTAAATGATCCATTTTTCATCACCTGTTATTAACTGCTTTAAAAAGGGATCGTCTTCTCTGCATTTTAAAAGTGAATCACATACAGAAACACGCACAGTAAGGTTTCGTTCACTTAACTGATGGGGGAACCCAAACGTCATAACAGGAAGTGGAAGTGTATCCAAGGCTAGCCAAATCAGGATGGCTCAATCAAAATGGGCTAGCCTTGAAGATTTTTCCCTTGAAGATTCACCTCAATCAGGATGCATCCTGATTGAGGTGAATCTTCAAGGGAAAAATCTCCCTCCCTAAATTTTGAAAACCATTTCTGGCATGTTTGATCAGTAACTGCATCCTCCCCATATACAGCATATATCTTTTTTTGAGTTTTTGACGCATTTTTTCCTTTTTGGAAATAATAGAGCATGAGATGTCAAAATGCATCTTCTTATACTGAATTTTAATGTTTTTTTTTCTTAAAAGATAACAAAATTTTAAAAAATAGCTGTAATTAAACTTACGTAATAAATATGCAAATATTCGTAATTCAACCAAAACAAGTTAAAACTTGACAAGCACGACAGAGGCACCATAGACGAGCGATTATGTAAATACCCAAATGAACTTTCAATTCTACCAAATATACTGATCATCATAATAAAACTTCAATTTGCAATTACTTTTTTTAATATAATATCTGGACAGAAGGAAAAAAATATATATATTCTGATATACTTTTGATCTTATCTATCTTNATCAGATAAATTATAAATTAAGTCTAAGAACACTCTATTAACAATTTACACACCACAAATAAATAATTAAATAAAAATATTAATTAAATGTTTGATACATTATTAATTAAATTTATTTTTTAATTTCCTTTCAATGAATTTTATCGTTTTTTCGTTATTTTTAACGCTTTTTTTCCACAGGTTTATTGATTATTTTTGTCTTATCGATTTTTCTGAATGGTTTAGTTTGCCGCTCGACACTTCAGATTTCAGTGTAGATATACTACCTGGAAAAAAAGGAAAAGAAAAAAGAACACTTTGTATCAGCTTCCGGATCATAACAGATAAATTTCAAGATATTTCTTAATGGAAAACACTTTTCTATCATTTTTTTTTTAATCTCTTTATTTTTGATTAGAGGATTTATTGTTGTTAATTAAATCTTTGTAACGTTCATTTCTAGATAACACTAACGTTTTTCCTACAATCATCACAGGAAAACTTGTAAATCTACCTCACTAAATCTTATTGAACTTCACGATTTATCTTTTTTTTTATGAATTTATTAAATCAGATCTTTAAAGATTGAATTTTTTTCGTTACGACTACTATTGTTAATAAATTGATTTTTTTCTATAATGTTAACATTAAAATGTAAAAAAAAGGGAATAGAAATAAATTGAAATATTTTATTTTTATGACTTCTTGAACGTAGAACATTTTAAAAGTTTCTAAGTTACTTACGTTCCAAAGTTAAAAGTCCCAGTTTATGTAACCTAATTCATTTTATTTTTATGACTTCTCAAACGTAGAACATTTTAAAAGTTTCTAAGTTACTTACGTTCCAAAGTTAAAAGTCCCAGTTTATGTAACCTAATTTGTTTTCTTAAATTTTATCAAAATATTGTGTATGAACACAATGTTTTGATAAAAATTTTAGAAATCTAATAAACATATTAGAAATTATCAAATATATCAATTCATAAACATAGCAATAAACTCTCATTGTGTACAGAAATTTGATTGTTAAGTGTGTGAAAAATTTTAAATATTCTTTGAAGTATCAAACTTCAAAGAATGTTTGTTTTTAAATTAGTTTTAATGGTAACAATCTAATTCTTTTAAGAAATAAAATTTTTAATTATATATGATTTTTATTTACAACTAATGTTACTTTATTGCTATTTAACATTAATTTTTAATTACTTACTTTTTTATCATCAAATGATATATTCCTAATCTCACTCCAAGGAAAATTAATTTTTGGTGCTAATTTGTTATTTTTTTCATAAATATTCAATCCTAATGCAGTGACTCCTAACCATAATTCACTATCTTTTTTATTCTATTAAATTAAAAGAAGAAAAAAAATTATTATTCTTAAAAGTTCAAAATATAAATTATTCAAAATTTTTAATTAGTAATCTATGATTCATCTAAACCAGAGCATCTGAAACTGTAGGTTGCATAATTGAATTTCAGGGTCACGAAAACTTTGGCAACTGTTCACAAAGGATGTCACTTCAATGTTCCTGTGTCAGCTTCTCCAACAGTGGTTAGCAAAAGTAATTATGAAAACTTTTTGACTTAAAATATTTAATTAAAATTGAAAACTCAGGCCTGTTAAGGCTTTGTATCTGGCTCACAGTCTTGATGATTTCTAAAGATCAATATTTCTAACATCTTGCAGGAATTAAAACAAAAAAAAAAATTCAAACATCTAACTGTTTATGTAAGTCATAAAGGTCTGGCAGCATGAGGCCTTTGTTAGAGCTTTTTTTAAATTACAGTATGTTTTTGGTTTACAGAGTAATATTGAATACAGTCTGAATCTGATATTCATGTGTTTGGCACTTTGCTGCATTTGAGTTTGAGATCCTTGACATATGTTTAGGCAATCAGTGACTGGCTTGTGACAAACAATCTTTTGAAAATGAGAGATGATGACCAGAATATACCCCCTAGTCTTCTTCCCTAGCCCCTAGAAGTGCTTTCCCTGGACCATTGCTGCCAATATGTTGTATATAGTGAACACAACTCGATTCACTTTCCATGATCTCACAAAATGAAAATTTATCTTCTCTTGGCCTATCACACAGACTTATTCAAACTGAGTTAGTTGTTTCTGATATGCAGTTCATTGTCACCTTTGAGGCATTCTATATGTTGTAACTAATGTCACCCCCAACTTTTTAGTGACACTAATACTTATAAACAGCTCCACATATGTATTGATACTTCTAATTTGCATTTGCTGTGGCACTGTGAGTTGTGCCCTTGAATCTGGTATCATATAAATAAATGTATGTGTAATTTTTTGTTCACCTAGTATAACTCATTATTGGTGTTAGGATTTCCTTTTCCGGCAGTATAGAATAGAATAGAATGTTTATTAACGTAATAGGCAATAGCCTGTTACAAGGGGGATGTTTATACAATTATTAGAACTTTACATAAATTAACTTTTCGATGAGCATTCGCCTTCAGTCTGTTACAATCAGGGTGGTTGGATTTCACAATTTCTTGATTATCTACAAAGATTTATTTCTACATCTAATTATATTTTAACTTATACATCACATTCAGTATGTACTGTACCTTTTTACCCGTTTTAAAAACACTTCAAATTTATTCATTATTCCGTATACAGTATCTCAATGTTTTTACATTACATAGATCTTATTTTCGTTATTAAATTTATATTTACGAGTATGATAGCTACTTCAACATAGTAGATTAATTTATTCTTGTTTCTTCATTTTTTGCTTTACTAAATACTATGATTAAGTGTTTATTAGCTATTAACTTTGACTGTCACTTCAAATTATCATACAGATTTCCGTAGAACCAATTATAATGTAAAAGGCTATGAATTTCTTTAGTAAGACTTTATAATTTTTCCGCAAAGACCCTATATTCACCAAAACCCTATTGGACAGAATTTTTTTTATTTTTTATTTTTGTCTTTGTTAGTCTCTCTCATATTTTTACTACCATTACATTACTAACATTTTTTCTTTTACTTTACTATTTTCCTGTTTTACTAAGCTTTTATTACAATTTTTTTCAATTACTGTTATCTTATTAAAGGAATATAAACTTAATTCGGTATGATTCTCTTGTCAGACCTGTTATTTTTAATCGTCTGTCTATTTCTAAGAGAACAATCCATTTGAAGAATCTTGTTTGTATTCATATCAATTGTATATATTATATTATCCTTAATATAGTAATCATCTCTTATTAATATTTTATTTTTAGTAGTTTTTTCCACTTTAATTTGATCCTGTAGTTTTTTTCTTCTAATTCTTGATCTAATACACAAATCCGTTGTAATTATTATTTTTTTCTCGGTTTCATTAACAATTTTTGGTTTCAAAGTCCAAAATCTTTTGAGAACTAAATTTCTATCTTTTACAGATTCCAGAATTACTTTTATTATTAGGTTATTCTTACTATTTTTAAGTTGAACTAGTCCTTCAATTTCTATATTTTTTAGACCTAATTCTTCGTTAATAAATTGTTTGATTTCTTGAACAACGTTCCATGTTTTAACCGGAAAATTAAAAATTATTATATTCTTATTTGTAGTCTCATTTACCAATTTATCAAATTCGAATTCCAACATACCTTTTATCTTTTCGTTATTTTTATAATTTTCTTCTAATTTTTGTATCTTGTAACCAATTATCTTCATCTCTTCTTTATAACTATTATTTTCTTCTTTTATCTTATTAACTTCAGCTTTTATTGATTGAATTTCTAAGTTTAACTGGCAAAATTTTTCCTGAATTAATTCATATATAGATCTTAACGTATATTGTGAATCGTCAATACCTTGTTTTTCGGTTTCTTTTGCCGGTTTAAAATAATCCTGAATTTTCGAATTTCTCGGGGTCCCATTATTTCTTTCTACCTTTTCTTCAATTTGGTATTCCTCACTTAAAATTTCCAGTAACTGTGTTTCCCTTTCTTCATCCTTGTGACTTTCCTTCCTAGGTCTGCCCCGCCCCTTTTTTTGCATATCCAACTGACTTGACTGAAGTGGTGAGCGGGGGAGAGGACCAGGATTTATTTCAATTCCGGCAATTATTAATAGTATTTTAATCATTCCCAATGTTAAATTAATGTCAACAGCTCTAATTTGTACATACCACATTGCGTAATTTTTTGTTATTTCCATCTCAAACTTGTTCTACCAACCTCTCAAAAAAAGTTCACTCGCACAGTTGACAGCTCTGACACACCCCCTTTCTGGCAGTATAAATAGCTTAAAGATTTCTATTAGTTTAATAAACAAAATTTTACATAAAAAATTCTATTCCAATTTTATTATATCATGTTAAATTATTATTTGTATTTGCTGTAACATAAATTTTTTGTTTTCAAATCTTATAAATTTTGAAAATACTTGAATATTACCAATCAATGTCAAATACAATTGATTATGTGAATTTAAAAAATATAGTTTTATACTAAGTGACATCACTTAAAAACAGAATATTGTTAATAATTAAGTATTGATTTTCTTTAAATGGATTTGTCAATTAAAACATCTGCAAAAATTAAAGAATAAATTTTATCAGCTATAACACATACTGAACTTTACTAATTCTATTCTATATACTTATTGATTTTAACTTAAATCAAAGTGAATGACAGACATCTAAATCCAAAATCTTTCCTAATCTATTCCAAATTAAATAATGCTCTTATATATACATGAAGTACATCCATACATAATGCAAACTTATATGCAACTATTTATAATGCATAAATGCAAGTTATAAAATACATGTATTTTTAGATGCTGATGAAAATAGCAATATTTATTTTATATTTAATTAATTAATTTACATGAAACTGGAAGAAAAGAATTGGCTCGAAGCAAGACTCAAACCTGCAACTCTTGCTTACCATGCGGATGCATTGCCAGTTATGCTATCTAGACCTTCAGTCCAATCTTCTCTTCTGGCATATGTAAGTTAAGATATAACCATCCAAAATTTAGCCCGATTATTTACGGCAGTTGTAGGTGTATTTGCTTAAGATATTGGGTTTCGATTGATCTGTATATTTGTTAAATTAACTTTAAACTTTCTGAGAAACATAATTTCTGACCCATCCTCTTTGGAATACAAGGCTTTCTAACCTTGAAGAAGTTCTCATCGATCAGATCACCAATTTATAGTTGGTTCACAAAACTGGAGTGTCTTTTTAATAGAATAGGTATCTCACTTTCTTTAATAGATTCATTTTCAGAAGTTTTAAAATATATAAATACAATTTTACATGAGTTTGACAATCTTTAACTGAGAGAAGAAGGGACAGGGTTCTCAAAGCTAAGTATCATTCATGGTACTTAGAAATATTAGACAACAACCAGTGTTTTACACCTGTTATCAGCAGCTACCATTTATAGTTAAAAAACAATCATCCAGATTCACCTTAAGTTTCATTTAAGATGGAAGCACTTGTGTATTGATCTATGTTCATCAGAAATGTGTCCTTATTGCAAGAATGGAAATNTATCAACAAATAATATAAAAATTTTTAATATAAAATTTTGAAAAATAAGTGCAAATAAATAATTAAAATAAATTTATACTTACGTGGATTGGAAAATAATTTACTCCATACATATCTAAATCTTGTGCTATCTTTAAATATTCCATCTCAGCTTCATCCCTAACAAATAAATTAATTATTTTTTATCCTAAATAAATTTAATTATTTATATTTGAATTATAATTACTATAATTTATTAAAATTAATCAAAGTATATTTCTAAAACTTTTAAAATTCTTATTGTTCATTTGTGTCAATCAAACTTTGCCTTCAATAGTGATTTTAATGAAAACCTTTAAAGAAATAGTAATGAAATTATTTAATTTATAAGAAATTAGCATTGTAATACACACTATATAAACTACAATCACATTATAAAAAATAATAAAAATCTTCTAGAAATGTTACATGAAGAATGCTCATTAATAACATCAGCAATTGCAAATGAAAATTTTTTTTAGCATTTGATCTACCAAATTCTCTTTAATATGTAATGATCATTATAGTTCTCTAACAGTATTACTATTCTACAAAATTCAGTATATTATAAGTTAATAAAAATCCAGGACAAATATACAGTACAATTAAAACTGTTATGGAATAGAAGAAACTCTAAACAAACAAAAAAATTTTAAAAGTATCTTTATAATTTGAACTTTTTCATACATTTCAGACAATAATGCCACACACCAAAAAAGTTAATGTTTATTTTGACAATCTTTTCTGTCTCAATATGTAAATGATGTTGTTTTCTGGCACAAGTTCCATTTGAGCTAAATTGTGCCATGATCCTGTACAGAAGAAAGCATAAGAGAAACAAATGACCATTAGTGTTAAAAGCCAACTGCAATAGTCATGCCAGTCATCTATCTATCTAACTCTGTTCTGGAGAAATTTTTTTAACTGAAATAACATGACTTACAGTCCAGACCAAAAGTTCATATTTAGTTATTGTGTCTCTAGTCCCTAAGCTTTCCATATCTAGTTTCAACTTTCATCCAACTACATTTTTGAGATTAAGGAAGGACAGAGAGACACTAGACAGATGCCTGTAGAAATTTATAGGTCTGCAATTTGAAAACTGCATCCCACCTACATCCTATGTAAATGGTGTAAAGAGCCAGTTATAACATAACAGATATAAAAAAGATAACAACAGCATATGGTAAGTAGGTAAAAGCAGAAGGAACAAGGATTAAAATCATAGCAACTGTAAAACATTAACCCCTTCTGAGCCGCGCTTGAGTGTGACTCGAGCGCGTTTTTTAGCGTTACATCGTTAAGGCCACTTTTGAAAAAATTAGTTTTTTTGAATTTTTGGAATGTTTTTTATGTCCCCAAATTTTTTCAGAATTTTTTGCGCACGCGAAAAAATTTTATCGCGATTTTAATTTTCCTTTGATAAGGCTCGATTAAGGCTTAATGTTTTTTTAATGGGAGTTTTTTATCAAAATTAATTTATCATTCTAAAGTTGTAGCGCACCGATTTTCCTTCGGTAAAGTTATTTAAAGCTGCTTTCTGATGTCAAAAACGACTTCCGATAGTTTTTTAATTTTTTTAATTAATAGATTTTATTATATAGAAGTTTAATTAATTAGGGGGGGTCGGAAATCGCAATAAAAATTATAATTTTTTTAAAATATTTAAAAATATACCGCCAGATTGAAGTCACCCTACTTTAAACCCTTGTCCTCCCGCGATGTCTATGAGAATGTCCCGGGAAATCGGACTCCAGCTGTGTTCAAGGTCACCCAGCTGTGTAAACAATGACTCATCGGTGTTACATTTCACAGACAGGCGAAACAAAGGAAAATAAAAT